GGAGGAGGGTAGAGAGAATAGTGCAACAATGAATGAGTGGAAGCCCAAAATCTCTGTAAATGTTTATGAAAATTAATAAAATATAATTATAGAAAAAAAAAAGAAGATAATTTTGTCCTGGCTACTTGATGGAGAAAAACAACAACAACAAAATGCAGCATGCCCAGGAAACATGCAACTCTTTTGTACTCCTTTGAAGAATCAAACTCACTGGAGAAATTTTGAGTAAAAAAAAAATCAGTCACCTGTATCAGTATTATAATCAGCCTCTTCTGTGCACAAAAATAAGTAATTTTAGACAATTTAAAATGGAATGTTCAAAATTTAGAAAAATCCTTGGTAGTACCGCATTTAAATGCTTGGCTTGTAACTGAAAAGTCAATGCTTCCAACTCACTAGCCACTTTACAGAAGAAAGATGTGAAAAAAAAAATTTAAAAATTAAAAAAAAGAAAGATACAGCTGTCTGTTTCCATAAAAATTAACAGCCTACTAAGGGCAATGAGTATTAAAATTTATAGCCTCTAAGTGGAAGCCATTTCATTTTATTTCTTCTTAAGTGAATTATGTGATAGAAATAAGAAAAAAGATTCATTGGAGATAAGAAAAATAATAATTTTTCACCTCACACACATTTTATCTTCATTTGTAATCTTAAGGAATGACTTTACTTTTTACTCATAATATAGCTTCATTTATTTTCATAAGAAAAAAATAGAAAATGCAACAAATATGTACTGTACCTTTAAAAGACTGTTTACAACAGTATCACGTAAGGGGATAATTCCATCTGGATTTTCACTATTCACATCAGCACCAGCTTTTAATAACTCTACATCAGATCCCTCACTAGATGCCTCATGGAGTGGTGTCCAACCTAAAATGAGAGAAGACAAGCTGAGGATTATAAACCAATTTCCATATGATCTCTTTCAGTTTTTTGAATTAGTAGAATATCAATGTTGATTCATATATAATAAATATTAAATAGAAAATATGTCATTGGAAATTTTGCCTTAAAATATGTACTTTTAATTTTAAAAAGCAAATTAGTCCAGTTATAAATGTTTCCTAATACAAATACCAAACAAATTAATTTCACCTCAAACATTTGTTAATAAGGAGCCCAAACAGAAGACTCAGAGACATAATGCATAATGGGACCAGAGTAAACGCCAACCCTGTCAATTTGTTTCTACTCAGATAATAGAGCACTATCATTTCTGATTTTGATATTTGTATTGTCTTTAAAATGACATTTGAGTCAAACATTTAAAAATTTTCCCTCTGAAATTCCTACACAAGACTCTTGGGTGCTTGAGAAAAACGTTAAAAGACCTATTTTTTAAGAGGAGATTTAGTATAAAAAGAGAAGGGATCAAAAAAGAAAGTATAAAGAAAGGAGGAAAGAAAAGATAGGAAAAGGAAATGGGGACAAGGTTGCCTTCTTTCCAAAGTAAGGAAACGAAAGTAAGGTTTCTAAAGAAAAGGCCAAAAGAAAGTTGTCCTTACTCCCAAATCTATGTAGCTTCTTCCAGTGTTAAAACTGTTTAAAAAAATCTTTTTTCAGACATCAAGATAAATCTTACAACTCAATTATAGAATATGAAAAGGATCATTCCTAATTAGAGTAATGCATTGTTGTTGTTATGTGCCGTCGAGTCACTTGCAACTCATAGCGATCCTATGTACAACAGCCCTAAACCCTGCTCTATCCTGTGCCAATCGCATTGCCTCTGACACACCCATCCTGATTACCTCAGTCACTGAATCAATCCATCTCATAGAGGGTCTTCCCCTCTTGCGCCGTCCCTCCACCCTCCCAAGCATGACGTCCCTCTCCAAGGATCTGGCCCTCCTTGCAACATGCCCAAAGTATGTCATATGAAGCCACAGAATTCTTGCCTCCAAGGAGTTGCTTGGTTTAATCCTCTCCAGGATGAATCTGTTTGTTTCCTTGGCAGTCCATGATACATTCAATACTCTTCTCCAGCACCACAGCTCAAAGGTATCAATTCTCCTTCTGTCTTCCCCAGTCATCGTCCAACTCTCTGATGCATAACAAGTAATTACAAAGACCATGGCCTGTATCAGGCACACCTTAGTCTCCAAAGAGACACCGTTGCTCTTGAGTACTTTAGAGAGGTCCCTAACAGCAGACTTTCCCATCGTGATACGTTTTATTTCCTGACTGCTGGTGCCAAGAGAGTTGACCATGGAGCCGAGCAAACTGAAGCTGTGAACAATCTCAATCTCTTTGCCACCCATCCTGATACTACCAATTGGTCCAGTGGTGGGAATCTTTGTCTTCTTGACATTGAGCCTCAGTCCATACTGAAGGCTGCAGTCCTTGACCCTCTGCAGCAAGTGCATGAGATCCTCCTCAGTTTCAGCAAACAGGGTTGTGTCATCTGCATAACACAGATTGTTAATAGATCTTCCACCAATCCTGATGCCACAATTCCCCTCATAGAGCCCAGCCTCCCGGATCATCTGCTCTGCATACAGGTTGAAAAGGTATGGAGACAGGACACATCCTTGGCGTACACCCTTCCCAATTTTGAACCATGCAGTGTTAACCTGCTCTTTTCTGAAGACTGCCTCTTGGTCCAAGTATAGGTTTTGCATTAGCACGATTAAATGTTCTGGGATTCCTATTCTTCTCAGAGTCATCCACGGTTTGTTATGATCCACACAGTCAAACACCTTTGCATAGTCAATGAAACACAGATAGACATTCTTCTGGTATTCCCTGCTTTCAGCTAAGATCCATCTAACATCAGCTACAATATCCCACGACCCCTTCTAAACCCAGTCTCGACTTCTGGCAGTTCTCTGCTGATGTGCTGTTCCAGTCATTTTTGGATAATCTTCAGTAGAATCTTGCTTTCATGTGAAATCAATGATATTGTTCTGTAGTTTCCACACTCAGCTGGGTCACTTTTCTTTGGAATGGGAGCAAATATAGATCTCTTCAGTCAGTTGGCCAAGTAGTTATTCTCCAGATTTCTTGGCACAACTTGGTAAGTACAACCAGGGCAGCATCTGTTAGCTGAAATACTTCAATTGGTATACCATCTATTCCTGGGGCCTTATTTTTTTGCTATTTCCTTCAAAGCAGCTTGAACTTCTTCCTTCATCACCATAGGCCCTTGCTCATATGTTATTTCATTAAATTCTTCTGTATCTGCCAATTAAAATTGAGCAGCACAGGTATGAAATGTATATGCCCATGAGTTCAAATTAAAAATACAATGGAAAGGACTCAAACCTGCATTATCTTTCATATTCACATCTGCTCCAGAGTTTATTGGGACTTCACTTGAGATAAATTTCCTCTTTTAGCAGCTAAATGAAGTCGACCTTCCCCTTCAGCATTCCTTTTATTGATTCCAGTTGTTTTTATTTCTGTAAAATTTCCATGCAAAACTGAGAATTCTTTTCTGCCAGGTGCAGGATCCTAGCAAATACATGTCAACTTCCTCAAAATATCCTGAGTACACTACACAGAAATACACATTATTTTTTAAAACAGAAAAAAAGGACAAAAGAATTCAGTATATTTGGGGGAACTGAAAAGTGTACTGATGGAGAAGTAAACAACTTATCAAAGAGGGGAATATTCTACCCAAGTGCCTACATCCAAACACAGGCACTCAGCACTTGGGGCATCAAATACCATGGGAAACAGCATGTGTGAAGCCAAGCTAGAAGCAGGGATACTGATTCAAAGTTTATAAACAGAACAGTTGGGACTTGCAGCCCCCTTTTACAGCCATGAATAGCCTAGTAATTATGTTTCTTGCCCAATATCCTCACCCTCAAGTTAGGAACCTAAAAGTTTATTATCTGTAAAATTCTAACAGCAAAACTTCAAAAACATACACAAGGTTAAAGCAGTAAAGCAGGATAATAAAATGAAAGGGTATTAATTGAACTTTAATTCAACTCTAGTCTCAAGCTGAACCAATGCATAGCTGATTCTCCATTTGGTGTCAGAAGCTGTAAATCATATAATGGTATGGAGGACAGGATGCATCTCCAATGCATTTCTTTCCTGATTTTTAAACATGCAGTGTTTCCTTGCTCAGTTCTGAGGACTGCTTACTGGTCTAAGTTTCTCAAAAGCACAATCAAGTGTTCTGAGATTCCCATCCTCAAGATTAGCCACACTTTGTTGCAATTCACATAGTCAAAAGCCTTTGCATAGTCAATGAAACACAAATAGACATTCCTCTGGTACTCTGTGCTCTCTGCCAAGATCCACCTGACATTGGAGATAATGTCTCTAGTGTCATGACCTCTTTTAAACCCAGCTTGTATTTCTGGCAGTTTTTGGTCATACTTCTGGCAGGTCTCTGATGATATACTGTTCCAGTCATTTTCGGATAATCCTCAGCAGAATTTTGCTTGCATGTGATATTTGTGATACTGTTTGATAACTTCCACACTCTATCAGGTCACCTTATTTTGGAATGAGCATAAATATGGGTCTCTCCCAGTCAGTTGGTGAGGTTGTTGTCCTCCAGATTTCTTGACACAACCTGGTAAACATGTCCATGGCAGCATCTGTTTGTTGAAGTATGTCAATTGGTATCCCATCAATTCCTGGGGCCTTAATTTTTGTCAACTCCTTCAGAACAGCAGGAAAAGACAGCCTCAGATGAGATGAATTGATACAGTAACTGGCGTAATGCGGGAAGGTGTGCTGGAGTCAGTGAAAATGACTCAGAGTAGGTCAGACTTCAGAGCTGTTGTACCTAAGGTTGCTTTGAGTCATATGTGACTTGACGGCACATAACAACAACAAATTGTATAGGGGGAGACTGCTCATCTTTAGCCTATAAAGCCACTGCTTGATTTAAAAAAATGGGGCATTGGGTCTATCAGAGCAAATCCGTAAAGACTATGCCACCAGAGCTCCCTTTAATTAAACCAGTAGTCTTCAAATAATCACCCCAGAGGAACAATATCATTGTTATCTGCCACAGCTATCTTCCACTGGCATTAAGACAAAAACCATACTAATCTAGGAGACTGAAATGAAAAACAAATTCAGTCCTCTAGTTGAAATACTGACGGATGCTATGGCAAAATCTTGAATGATCCAAGAATCATTGTGACAAAAAGAACTGACTTGACATGGAACCATTTCAGGAAGTAGTAGTATTATGATGAAAGACCAATGGTAATAGAGGAAGCAATTTAAGATGCACTGAAGACACTAGCAAAAAATAAGGGCCCAGGAATTGATGGAATACCCAGTTGACACATTCCAACAAACAGATGTGCTCATCAAGTTTTGCCAGTAAAACTAGAAGGCAACTATTTGGCTAACTGGGGGGAAAAAAATCCATGTTTGTTCCCATTTCCAAAAGAGATGATCCAAAACAATGTGAAAATTATTAAACAATATCATTAATACCAAATACAAGCACAATCTTGTTGAAAATGATTTAGGAAATAATAAACTGAAACAGTACATTTACAGAAACTCAGAAAATGCTAAAAATTCAACCTGCATTTGAGATGACGCTGTAGCACCAGGGATATCATTACTGATGTCAGGTGGATCTTTGCAGAAAGGAGAAAAACCAGAACAATGTCTATTTGTATTTTTTTGACTATGCAAAGTCATTTGACTATGTGAAACACAAAAAATTATGGCTAATATTGAGAAAAATGAGAATCCCAGAGACTTAATTGTGCTCATGTGAAACCTGCACCTAGACTAAAAGGCTATTGTCAGAATAAAGCAAGGGAACACTTTATGGTTTAAACTCATGAAAGGTGTTTGTTAGGGGCTGTATCCTTTCTCCTTATCTATCCAATTTGTATGCTGAACTCAAGAGATTGGATTCAAGAGATTGAAGAATTTGGCTTTAGGATTATAAGAGGACTCATCATGCAGATGACACAACCTTGTTGTTGATTGCCTTCTCTCCTGTTCCATTCGCACAAGCACAACAGTCTCATGATCGAGGTATAGGTTCCTCATGAGCACAATCAAATGCTCCTGGATTCCCATTCAGCAATCATATGTAAGCTGATTAACTGTCTCTGATTTAATTTACAATCAGCTATGGGTGGAAGCTGATTAACTGCATCTGATTTCATTTACAATCAGCTGTGGGAGGGAAGCTTCTTGTGTAGACAAAACAGGATCTGGTAGACATATTTAAAAGTCAGTTGGGTCCTGCCTGAAGGTGCCTCCTTTAGCTTGCAGCAGTTGGATGCTGGAAGGTAAGCATTTTTTATTTACTTGAAAGCTAGGGTAAACGGTTTGGGAATTTCTGATTGTGTTAGCAATCAAGTGTAAGCTGATTAACTATCTCTGATTTACAATTGGTTGTGGGTGGGAAGCCTCTTGTGCATGTAAACAGGATCTTTGTATGTAAAAGTCGGTTGGATCCTGCCTAAGGGTGAGCCTGTAGCTTGCTGAAGTTGGATCCTGGAGGGTGTTTTTTATTTACTCAAGCAAAAAAGGTAGGCATATAATAAACAATTTGAGATGAATATTTAAAAAGCACTCTATGTTACTTCAGTTGTTATTTCAATGCTGCTCTGGTTATAATTCTTTCTCAATATCCAAAGTTGATCTTGCCATTTTCTTCATTTTCTCTCTCATCTTCATCTTTTTTATATATTATAGGATACTTTAAAAACTTCCTTTGTCAATGTCACTGTAGATACGAATATACATATAATATTTTAAAATTTTTCTATTATATTTCTAATATTAAGAGTTCAGTTTTGTTCTTACTGTTCCTTCTTAGAGGTTAGAGGTTTATCTTTTTTTAAAAAAATGTTGATTTTTTTTTGTCCCTTATTTTTGCATTCTATTTCCTGTGATTTTCTTTGGTTTGTCCAAATGCATTGCATCTCCTCCTGACAGCTGGTACCTGGGGTATTGACTGTGCACCCAAGGAAGGTGAAATAGTTGATAATGTCGGTCTTTTCTCCATCTATCATGATACTGCTAATTCATTGGTTCAGTCTTTGTCTTTTTTTTATTTTATAATTTTTTTTATTTTAATAATTTTAATGAACATGTAGAGATATTTTGGATTTCCACTCATTCACTGCTGCACAGTCTTTGACTTTTCAATGTTGAGTTACCATTGATATTGAAGGCTGTAGCCTGATCTTCTGCAACAAGCATTTCAAGTCCTCCTCACATGCAGCAAGCAAGGTTATGCTATCTGTATAACATAGGTTGTTGATGAGCCTTCCTTCGATCCTGCTATCACATTCTACTTATAAAAGTCCAGCTTCTCGAATGATCTGTTCAGCATACAGACTGAATTGGTATGGATAAAGGTACAATTCTGACATACACCTTTCTTAATTTTAAACCATGAAGTGCTCCCTTGCTCCAGTCAGAGAACTGTTTCTTTGTCTATGTGTTGGTTTTGTATGAATAAAATTACAACTTCTGGGATTACCATTCTTCACAATGTAAGTTAATATTTGTTATGATACAAACAATCAGACGCCATTGCATAGTCAAGAAACACATTCTTCTGGTATGATATGTTTTTAGCCAGGATACATGTGCAAAATCCATCAGCAATATCACAGATGTTATGTTTTTTTGTCAATGTACTATTCTATCTATTTTCAGCAATAATTTACTTGCATATGATATTATGACCTCTCAAAATTATTAAGGAGCAATGATGTCAGTGTGAAGACTAGAGTGAGTATTCAGGCCATGGTCTTTTCAATTACTGAGAGCTATACGATAAATGAGGATTACAGAAGAAAAATTGTTATCTTTGAGTTGTGGTGTTGGAAAAGACACCTACATACATCTTGGGCTGTCAAAAGATTTATCTTCAAAAAAGTACTGACAGAGTGCTCATAAAAGGGAAAGATGGTGAAATTTTGTCTCACATAATTTGGTCATGTTGCTGTTGTTGTTATGTGCCGTCGAGTCACTTGCGACTCATAGCGACCCTATGTACAACAGCCCTAAACTCCGCTCTGTCCTGTGCCAATCGCACTGTCTCGGACACTCCCATCCCA